AAAAAATATTACACTCACAAAGAAACACTTGTGTTAAACTAATGATTTAACAATTCACACCTTCGCTTCAATCTGTTCTTCTTGAATTTTTTCCATTAAAAAAATATTTTTTTAAAAAATATCTTTCACCGTGACGATAACTTTAAAAAAAAAAAAAAACCCACCGCCTGTGTCTCACGCGCAAAACCGACCACTAACAGGCAAAGCCCACGGAACTTCGAAGTGAAAGAAAGACGTGACCCACGTCACCACGTAATTAACGCAGGCATGACTCCTATATAATATGATGCAGAGCTCCAATTTTCCATTCAGTGTACGGTTAAAATCCTCCGCAAACCACTTCCTGCTCGATTTCTGATCTCAGCAACTTCCTTGTAATCTACCTCTCTATTTAACTTCCCACATATATAAACTCACTAAAATATTGTCTATCCGTAAGAGCGAGAAACAATGGCAAGTGGAGATCTAGAGAGGGGGGCAAAGAACAGAGGAAATAACGCAAATTTCCCTTCATACTATGTTGAAACAGCAGAAAAGCAATGGACTTCATGGATAATTCCCATGTTTGTTGTTGCAAATATTGCTGTTTTTATTGTTGTCATGTATGTCAACGACTGTCCTAAAAAATCTCTGGGTATTGAAGGTAGTTGCGTGGCTAAGTTTCTTGGCAGGTTCTCTTTTCAGCCGTTGAAGGAAAACCCTCTGTTTGGCCCATCTGCTGCTACGTAAGTTTGTTCTCTCTTTCTCAATTTTGTCCAAATTTGTGAGCTTTTATAGGCGTTTTCATGTGGGTTTGGATTTGTTCTTCGTGTTTGATTTGGGTGGGAAGTTTTGTTACTTTTGGATTCAGACTTTGAGATATTGGGTAGTGGTTTCTTCTAATTTGATTTTAGGTGATCTTTTCTTTTGCTTAGTTTCTGGTTCTGATTTTGGTATTTTTTGTTTATGCTTGCGACTAGTTTTATTTAATACTGTTATTTAATACTTGGGCTTAATTGCTTTCATGACAATTCATATTTACTAGGTGTTCGTAAGAAGTATTAGATTAGCAGTTATGTTTTTTTATCTTGCTATTATTGAGAATCTTCTTCTCCACTTTATCTATGTGAAAATTTGTTCTTGCGTTTATGTATTAAGGCAGTGTGGAAATTTAGGGCGATCCACAAAAGTTTTATTACTTTGTTATGGAGTTCAATTTATCCACCAAAGGGCTCTGGAAGAACATTAAACTATTTATAAATTCACTGTATTCCCTCCGCTTTTAGAAGTAATGGACTTTTCAGAACATGAGGTTATTTCCTTTGTATGGTTTATAGATCTAAAGCTACAGGATAAAATTTTAATATGTAATTCAATGAGACTTACTATGCATGTGATCTCTTAAGTGCTGTAGATTCGTGTCTTCATGGGTTTGATTGAGGGGTGTGATGGCATAAATAGTGTTGCATGTCATTAATTTCTTGCTTGACCAATTATTTGTCGCAGTTTGTTCAAATCGATGTGCCTTTACTGCTAGTAATATGGTACCTGTAAGCAGCCTTCTAATTCATGTGGCAGAAGAATTTTGTTCGCTGATCTTTACATGCCAATGATTGTGCAGATTGGAAAAAATGGGAGCTCTGGAGTGGAACAAAGTAGTGCATGGACATCAAGGGTGGAGGCTTATCACTTGTATGTGGTTGCATGCGGGAGTTATTCATGTTCTTGCAAATATGTTAAGCTTGATCTTTATTGGGATTCGTCTTGAACAGCAATTTGGGTTTGGTATGTCATGCTCTCTTCTCCTGTCAATTCGTCTTGTTGATTACGTCCCTTCATCACGCGTGAAGTTGAAATCAACATGCTTGCAAATGTTATAAATCACTGACTGGAAATATCTCATGCCTCGGATATTATTATTGTTGCACTTTAAGCACATCATCAAGTTCTTATTCCAGTCATCTTTGTGTTTTTACCATTTTATTTAAAATCCGATCATCCTAATATATATTTTGGAAAATAATCTGGCAGTGCGAGTTGGGATTATCTACCTAGTATCAGGATTTGGTGGGAGCATCTTGTCTTCACTTTTTATTCAGCAAAACATTTCTGTCGGTGCATCTGGTGCTTTGTTTGGACTTCTTGGAGCAATGTTGTCAGAGCTTCTTACCAACTGGACAATCTATTCTAATAAGGTAGGCTGTTAACCGTTGGTTTCTTTTGCATACATATGAAAGTTTTGTGTTCTCTTATCATCTTAAGATTGATGAGGCCTTGTGTTTTATGGAAGTAATAACTTGACCTAGGAAATATTTACACATACACTCGGCTTTTCCATAGCCACGTGGTCTTGAATTGCTAGTTTTGGTCTTAGATTTTGTGGTTGTTTCATATGGTTCATATATTGTAGCAGATATAGATGCTTTCCTGCTGCTAATTCCTGGAACTAGGACCATGAGACCAAGACATTCTTTAGAGATAGCTTGTCGTGCGGTTGCCTCGTTTTTTTTATTAGAGATAGCTTGTCGTGCGGTTGCCTCATTTTTAAAAAAAAAAAAAACTGGATTCAAATAATTTGCAACTCAAAAATACTCTCATTCTTGTAGATTGCTGCTCTACTCACACTTGTGGTCATCATTGCCATTAACTTAGCTGTGGGAATTCTTCCACATGTCGACAACTTCGCCCACATTGGAGGTTTCGTGAGTGGATTTCTCCTCGGCTTTGTTTTCCTACTTCGTCCTCAGTTTGGGTGGGCAGAAAACCGACATTCTCCCGCTGATGGTCGTGTAAAATCCAAGCACAAGGCTTACCAATATGTATTCATGCTAGCTGCTGCGGTGTTGCTTATTGTTGGGTAAGTTCAAAACCCTTTTTTTTTTTTTTGTTATCAAGCCAAGCAAATGAGTTGGGCTAGATTAATTCAATGCTCCTTTGGTCTTCCCAAACTCCAACTTATCCTCATGAAACCAAGTATTTGCATATCTGCGTGTTTTCTAAAAGCAAGTCCTATTAGTGCAAGAACTTGTTTCTAATATATTTATAACATTATATACATTGCAGATTTACTTTGGCATTGGTAATGCTATTTAAAGGAGAAAACGGGAATGATCACTGCAGCTGGTGCCATTACCTTAGCTGCGTGCCTACTTCAAAATGGAACTGCCGGAGCTGATGAAGATTTTCCCATCTTATCCTCTGTTCGATAATTTTCTTATTCTTTTCATCCTTTCATTTTCTTTGGTTTTCATTTTTTCATTTGTTTGTAACGCTTTCACATATGTACATTGAAGTTGCGCTGCGATTGACTCTGGACATCAAAGAGTATTATAATGCTACTAGCCGCAGAATGCTTTCCCATCATCACAAATGCAATGCTGTCAAGCATGAAGTGACTTGATGTAAAAAAGTTGTTGAATGTTGTTGAATGGGCCATCAGAAATACGTGGAGTGTTTAAAAAAATGACCGGAGACATTCTGGCCTGCGACGTTGACACGGTACTAGTTGCACCAAAACACCAACAACCAATGTTAGTTGAAGGATGACAAGTCATTTTTGCTTGCTTGCCCAAACATTTTAAAACTTTTGAATTCGAGGGTTCGATTTCGTTAGTAATGAGAGTTTCCAGAGAGAACGAGTACCTAAAGAGAAGAAATCATCCGACCAATGACTAACGAGTTGGTGTGGGGAATATTGGAAAAGTCATGATTCAAGTTGGGAACAAATGGAATACAAGTAATTCTATAGGATTTAGTAAGCCCTGTAATGCCTAAATAATCAAGCCTTGGAAGGCCGTGTAGTTGCAGTGGCTGGCGCTCCAGATCAATTTTTTATCTCAATATAAAAAAAAATACTAAGGAAAAAAAAAAACACGATGTGGGTCATTGGATATATCAGTTAGCAATTTAAACAATTTTAAAAAAATATAAAAATAATAAATAAAATGACAAAAAAAAAACAAAAAAGTAAAAAAAAAACTCAACATAAATCTATCTAGAGTATAAAAAAATAAATGTTAAAGTGGGAAACTATAAGATTAGATTTTTTTCACAATTTTCAGTTCATTTTTATCTTACTTTATAAGTTCTGAAACCACAAACGCCATCCCTACTCAACCCACAGTCCATACTCCATACCATATTTCAAACGACACTGAACAACAACAACCATCCTAAGCATTATCTTTCATCCCTTGCGAAAAAGTCTTATTTTCAAGAGGTGAGGCTCACAGAAATTAAAAAAGGAAGTCTAACCATACATTGGCTCTATCCTAAAGCTAAATGCTTGCTCCTGTCTAGTTTGAGAAGAAAAGGAAATGATTTGTTGGTGATAAGAGGTTTGGAACAGAGTTGTTTATCATATTCAACAAAGGAGAAAAGCTATCATAAATCATCATGTGACAAAGAAGAGAGGTCTTGGGTGCTTGCAATCTGTCAGCATCACTCATTATTGTTATTGCTGGCGTTACAAGAGGGACTGTTCGAAAAATGTAGAAGAGGGTTACATTCCGATCTCTTACATATTCTGTACGAGTTTCCCTGTTTTGTTTGAGGATAAGGATGTGAGCTATAGGAGGAAACCCATCGGTATCTCGGTCGTACTGCATTCACATCACAGCATGTATGTCAGCCTGGTTAGAAGATTTGAGTTTATGAGGTGTTGTCGTGCTGTGTTGCGATCACAGAGAAGGGCTTTTGCTTTAATGAATCGTATTGTGCTGATGAAAATGGCACGTGTTGAGACAGTAAAGTAAAACAGGACATTCTCCATTTAAGAAAAAAAAATCATGCAGTAAAGTCTCCTTCCTGTTAATGATTTCTTTCCATTTTCATTTTTGCGTTTATAGTCTCTTGATAAAGTTTGGTCCTGCTGATCTTAAAATCTGAAGGAGTGGAAGGCAGAGCAGGTCGTTTCCTCTTGTTTCAGGCTTAAAATGGCAAAGAATCGAGGCCTCTCTGCATGCTTGTTTTGCATGGTAATAAATACTATGCTGTTCTATGAGATCTTTGCATTGCTTGCTTCAATGTAAATTTGGTTTGTCTTGGCTTGGTCTGTTGATCTAAGGGTAGACTAAGTTTGCATGCTGAAGGTTTAAAATGCAGGCTTGGTTGTAGTGGGATATTGGTGACGATTTTGGGTCATTCTTCTTCAATCAGTAGTCTACACCTTTGCAGGTTGCAGGCCCTCAGTTTGGGCTGCCGACATAGTAGAACATGAGTTTTCGGCTTCTCACCTTTGGGTTACCCATAATAAATAACATGTTTGTTGTTACATTTTAAAAATATTTTAAATTATTTTCTTTACTTTTGTTTTTTATATTTTTAAATAATTTTTATATGCTAATATTAAAAAAAAATTAAAAATTATTATTTCAATTATAATCGTTATCTCAATATTAAACAGCTCCAAATACTGGAATATTTTCTCTAGGTTTTTTATGAGCTTTATTTGACTAGTCCTTTTTTTTTATATAAAGATTTTTTTTATGGGATAACTTATTTAACCCTTTTCATTTAATATTTGGGATTATATAGTTATATGTAAGATGGAATTCTACTATTAAATAAATTCATTCAAAACTTTCAAAAAAAAATCTTTTTTAATTGCATATCACCAAGTCTTTTTTTTAAAAAAATTCATATACCATTTTTAATCAAAAAAATATAAAAAAACAGAGGAACCTAAAAATATATTGCATGATTTATTATTTCTTAAAAATTTTAAAAATATTTTTTATTTTACATACATCATGAACCTAATAACAAGTTTATTAAGTTTATAGAGGGCTTGGTCTAAATTTCAAAAATGTCAAATAATTAATTTGTTTATTTTTAATATTTTAGGATTTACAAACTTATACATAAGATGTATTTTTAATAGTAAAGATAAATCAAGTACATAATAAATAAAGATCTCATTCTCTCTCTCATTTGTTTACTTTTAATATTTTAAAAATATAAATTTATAGACAAGACGTGTTTTCAATATTAAAAGAAACAAAAAAAAAATATAATAAAATATTATTTTACTTTTGTTGAGTTGTCAATTTCATTCCAATTGAAATTTCGTTTTTATTATTGGAATAGTAAATTTGAGTTTTAGAGTCTTCAAATGTTTTATTTTGAAATCATGTATTGTGTGTATAATTTAAAATATTAATTCAACTTATATGATTTTAATTCAAATTTAAAGATAAATTAACTTTAAATTATGGAATATAAATACAATGTTAAGCATCTAAATATATTTTTAAAATTAAAGCAATCCTAAATAGTCAAAAGTAAAGAATTCAACATAAAAAAATTACAAGATACCGAGAAAGTATAAGTGTGTGTGTGTGTATCACTTAGTCTTTTATTTCTCTTTTTATAATAAATCAATCCAAATATGCTTTAATTTATTTCACACCCAGTTATAGTCAGTTATACTATAAGACTCATAGAAATTCGAATTTCAAACTTTTGAAGTTGTGAATGTCATTGTCAAATACCGTAGAACTAAGTAAAATGAAAGTTCAATAAATTAAATATTATAAATACAAAAAAAATATTTATATTTTTTAAATATAAGCAATAAAAGTGATTACCAAATTAACTTTTTTCTTTAATGAATAGCTATGGAGATGCCAAAATCACCGGCAAAATCTAGAATAACTTGAGACCCTAAACGATTAGAGCCATTCCAGCCAAAACGAAACGCAGTTCACAACCCTAGTTGATAATATGGCAGCAGAGTTGAATGATTATCTTTGATAGTAGCGAGTTCATGACCACCACACAACAGTCAACAGAGCTGTGGAAATAGTTGGGCCACTCAAGAGCTTGTGGTTGGACAAGGGAAGAGCTGGACATTGCATTGAGCTACTGGAAATTTCTACTTGGGTATAAGATGTACTAATCAGACTGGGGACCTGCCCTAATGCATGGCATGGCATGGGGCATTTCAATGTTTCCATTTGAATATAAGACGTACTGATAAAGATGCATTAATTGACCGCACGGAGTCATAGGACCGTAGCCATGTCTAGCTGACTTGTGACCATCACAACCACCCACATTATCTTTCCCATGTCCTCGAACATGTTCTTCAAACGCGATCTCCTAAATCCCTTGTAGGGCATGAGCTACCTTTAAAACTTTGACAGTATTAACTGTTTAATTCCCCAGATTAATTCCCAAGATCGCTCTGGTGAATTGGTTTTAGGACAATAACTGGTTACAGTACAAATCTATCACTATTTGTTTCAGAAAAGATGACAAAAGACTGATAAGATTTAGAAGAGAAGCCTGATACAATTGGAATCAGGAATTGACACTTCTGGTTAAGCTTGATTTTACCCTTGATACAGAAACAGAGTTCAAAAACACTACATGGATGATTTCCATTGGATTCTTAGCGTCTAGTGATCATACTAATTAGCCACCAACATAAACAACTTGACAGTTAACATAGATTAATCTAAGACAAATCTTGTATAAACTAAGTCACGTTCATTTGTTACCATTGAAACTTCGTTTTAGTATCTGCCCAACAGGCATTCCCAGCCTGTCCAAACGACCAGATCCAGGGTAAGCTTTACTTGTAAAACTTGCACGCAAGGCAGAGGCACTCTGTGCACTACTCGATCTTTGTTCACCAAAGCCGAGAACCGAGTATCTCTTCGTTGAGCTGGATCTCTCATACTGGGGTCTTTGTTTTGGAGCGCTTAGAGACCTCACCTTAGCCCTTGAAGATTCAGTGTTACACATATAATTTGGGTAGTCAGAGTATCCACTCATGAAGCTTCTAGAGCCACCACTCCTACTGGGGGTGAAGGGACTTCTCTTACCACTGCCACCCCTTGATGATGCGGAGTAGAATTGTGGGCTATTATCAGCAGTGCAAAATGCTTCCTCAACCTCACGAGAGAACTTCAATGGACTTAGAGATTGAACTTCGCCAGATAAGGGGCTTGGAACTGCTTGATGGACTGTGGAGCCTTTTGATGCTGTGAAACTATGACTATACTGATCCGCAGACAAGGAAAGGTGAGAAGGGTGAAAGAGATTTCTAAGTTTAGGACTAATATGTGATTTTCCAGAATCAATCTCGAGGATCTTGTCATCATCAATGGGGCCAGTTCCTGGCGAAGGGGCTTGATGATCCCATGTTCTACCATCCATTCCATGTTCTGACCAATTGAAGGATAAGTGCGCAACATCTTGATCAGCAATTTCTCTGCCTTTAGATTTTGACCCAGTTCTCTGTAAATGTCGAAAACAGGTCCACAAGTGCAAGGTCAGGATTTTAACAGTTGAATAATCATCCAAGGAGAACGGGATAAATATACCTTAAGCATTGATGATTGTTCATATTTTCCACTTGTAGCACGAATGGCATGCTCGGATTTTTCACAGGTTGGCAGACCCTGGAGGTAGTTTAAATATGATCAGCAACACATAGCCTAGGGAAAGCTGGTACCAGCACATAGAAATACAGTCTAAGCATACAGTTATCTGCTTCTAAAAAAAATATCGATAAGCCAATTTCATGAGCACCACAGCCATTTTTGAAGGTTGAATTTAATTGTATAATATGGCTCATTGATTTTTTATAACCACCCTCACCAAACCCACCAAGCTTACATCATTCAAAACCATAAATAATACATGAACCTTAATTAAAGGTGTCTAAAGCCAAAAAGAAAGCTAGTCTCCAGCTCTAAAGAAAAGTAGCCTTGAGTCCATGAGCAAAGCAATTCACTTCTCAAAAAATTCCAGCATAAGGGATTCAAATATGGGAGGGGAAATTGAGTTCCGCTTACAGGGAGGTGATAGTGAGAAGACTTGCTGCTTGAGTGGGAGGATTCAGAAATTTGGGCACGTCCTGCACGCGCTCGAGCCTGCGCTCTCAGCAATGCTTGCATTCGATGAAGCCACTCTGCTGTTCGCTTCCTCTCAAGGTGACCTCTTACCAGTGCCTGAAGCCTCACCAACGCTTTTAATGCTCTTAACGCTCTCCTTGCCTAGATTAATCCAGTAAAAAGTAACCAAGTTAAGCCAGTTTAACATTGCCGTTTGGGTTTTTTTAAAGCATTCCTTATATGAAAAAACATGAAGTTGATGTTTTTTGAGTATTTTTAAATGATTTTAATATAAGGATATAAAAATCATCCAAAAACACCTAAAAAAACCCTTCAAATTCGTGCTTTTTTAGGGAAAAATCACCTTCAGCTGCTTTAACAAACAACCACCAATACTTCAAAGCCTAACAATCATTGCATTGCATTTAATGCTCGTGCAGAAATGCCCAATCCTTTAATCAAGTACGCATTTGTTACATGTAATAATAATAAAAAAAGCATCTCGAGCTGGTCATAGTTTCACTGTTACATTCACCATAGGACCATCAGTTTGACAGAAAAGCTTGAAATCATGGCGCTAAACAGAACAACTCACACCAATTAAGATTTTAAAAGGAAACAGGACAGAAGCCTTAGAGAAAGTCCCAATTGAAAATCCCATCTGACACTACATACATTATAGAAGACAATGACATCTCACTATCCGCCCTCCCCCGAGGGAAAAGATAAATGTTGTGAAAAGTCTTTGATGAACATTGAATAGGAGACAAACTAGAAATAACTCAAGATTTATCGTGGTTTGGTGGTTCGGTAATGTGCCTAAATCCACATGAGCAGAGAGCTTTCATGTTTCACTATGTCAAAATTACATGGTATATATTTACAATAGACCCTAAATTGCGCAAGAAAACATCGTCGCCCAAGGAATCCTAACCGTCCAATGAACATTAATAGAGCCACAAACTACAGCAATAAAGCATTCCACAAGCCTTGACTTAGGTAGTGTTTGAAATCATGGTCATGATTGCTTTTTAAAGTATTTTTTGTTTGGTGACTTAGGTAGTGTTTGAAATCATGGTCGTGATTGTTTTTTAAAGTATTTTTTTGTTTGGAATTATATCAAAACAATTTTTTATTTTTAAAATTTATTTTTCACATCATTATCGTATCAAAACGATACAAGATTACAAAAAAATTAATTTGAAAAAAAATAAAAAATTTTCAAAGGTGCTTCTTCTTGAACCCAAAAACAAACATACTCGCAGCAATACAACTAACCCAACTTCCATCTTTGGACATGAAGGAAACATTTACACTTTTTCGCTACTTTGGTACCCACCCTTACCTAAGACCCAGCAACTAAAAGCATTTAGAGTTGAACCATACTTGGAAACGAGAAACCTCAAAAAGTGTACTGTCAAGTGTCAACAATTTAAAACTCTGCCGTATTCCTTGTCAACCAAAAAAACACCTACCAAATATCCTTGATTTTACTACTATTCTATGTCTAATCCTATTGGCATTACGGGCCAAAATCCATCCAACAACTGTTGACAATGGGAGCTGGGCCCTACAGTTTGGAATATAACACAGGAATTAGACAAACCCATCTTTTTAAATAGAGCATCTCGTTGATAAAGTTATTATCAGACGCTAGTGGTCCAAAAGCAAGCACCTGTACAACAATTCCACACGAAATCAAAAGCATTTAAGCTACAAACATACCAATCAAGTAAACAAGCACACCGATAATAAAAATAAAAAATAAAAAAACCATGAACCTTCACAGAGATAACTAGTTAAAGATTTGGGCACAACGTTTTTGAAATTACATAAAAGAACACCATGACATGGCACCGCTTGAAATTCTTCCTCCAAGATCCAAACCAAAAATAGAACCAGATTATTTGCTTTCAACGTTGAACATCCCAACCAAGATAGAAGGAAGTGAAAATCTTAGTTCCACACGGATTCACGGCCCGGTAAATGGTAGTCTGGTGACTACACAAGTACAAATATAAAAACTGGCTCCATTTATAGTTCAATTGAAGGACTTGTAAATGGAAAAAAGAACCTCCCAAAAGCAATTTTATTCGGACACTGAATACTCTAAGCATAACGACAAAGCAGAACAACTCAGGTGACAGTGCAATGCAGGAAGAAAAAATAGCATTGTAAGAGTGAAAACGAAATTGTTTTAGTAACTTTGTAGACCAGGCAGCTGTAACATGCATCCCATCTTTCAAGATAAAAGGTTCATGACTAAATAGCGCTAATCCCAACAAAATTGGCGAAAAAACATGACTAACTAAAGATAAATAAAATTCTTAACAGGATAGAATAAAGGAATAAACGTTAAGAGAAAAACGTGAGACGAATTATATTACCAGGTAGCCACGAAAAGCAGCTTCGATCTTAACAGCAGCGAAGTCTTCACGTAAGCCAGGACTCCCGCTAACGTACGCAACACTGTTATCAACACACCTCCCGCTGCTTGTTAACCGCACCACCTCTGCAGCTGCCTGCGCGGCAGCAACTGCAGCCTCCGCAACTGCAGCAGTAGCAGCAGCCACAGCGATCGCATGCTTGTTTGGGTCCTCCTCAAACTCCTGCCCGTACAAAACGCCTGCTTTAACGGCTTCGGTCTCTTGTTGTTGCTGTTGGTGATGGTGTTGGTCTTTTTCACGGTGGGACTTGACAAAACTCCATCTCCTTTTTTCTTTAGAACGAGTTGTTACGGGGTGGTCTGGTGGTGGGTCGGGTTTTTTGAGGCCGAGAACGGCACGGAACCATTTGGAAGCTTTGCCCATCAGTGAGAGGGAATTGTTGAGAAGGTTTTGGGTTCTTGGGGTTAGCAATGGCAGGGAGTGAGAGGGAGAGGCTGGTTAAGTTCTAGTTATTAGTTAACTTGGGGTGGAGTGGAGGGAGGGAGTTGAGAGAGGTGAGGGTGTTTGCTGGCATTTCACTGGTGGGTATATAATTCCGGGGAATTTTATACGATTCGGAAAATGATGGCAGGTTAATGGGAGTGTTTTGGGTAAAGCGAGAGTCTATTCGCTTGGTTTGCGCGTGTGATTCAAACGTTGCATGCAGCTTATGTTTTGGTAAAGATGACCTTTTGGATTATTTTATCGGGTGAGTCCTTTCTTTTGTATGAAATTGGATCCTCGTGTAAGTCTCTCCCTCGAGAATTACCATCACTTGCAATTATCATTATTTTTGCACCCAAGGCATAACGGTGGTAGGCATCCTGCGCCTTTCGCTGCCATAGGTTCTAATTTTGGAGTTGCATGCTTGTTAGCCCCGCGCTATTTTATTTGTCTGTTAGGTTTGCAGTATATTCAGTAAGCCGTGAAGATTAGTCGTGGTGCGTGTAAGCTAGCCCGAACACCCCACATTAATCAAAAAAAAAAAAAACTTTATCTATTTAATACTAACCACTCTTCAAGTAACTTTCTCTAGATGGGCAAAATTCAACCTCGTCACACTACTTTCTTCAAGTTATATCGTGGGTTTATCAAAAAAACAATTATAGCATAAAAAATAAGTAGATATTATTAACACGTTTTATAATAAAAAAATTTAATAATAAACAAAAAATATAATATTTATTGGATGGCCTCTCTAAATTTTTTTAAAAAAATATTAAGATGTTGATGTATTAAATTAAATTGAGTTAATTTGTTGAACTTGTAATCTAAATCACAAAAATATGATAACAATGTACAAAGAAAATTAAAATAAATTATAAAGTTTAATTTATAATCAATTCAATACTGAATAAATAAAAAAATATTAAATAAAAAAATTATTTAAATCAACATGACAAACTCATAACCAGGATCATAAAATCAAGATAAACTCATAAAAAATAAATAAAAAATTACAAGGTTTTATCAAAGATAAAATAAAACAATTAATGAAAAATAGGAACATTAAAAAAATCTAAAATAACATAAAATAATCTATTAAACTCGCGATTTAAATTATAAAACTAGTATAAATTTATAAAAAAAACAACTAAAAAAATAAAAAAAAACCTTTATTTAATAGAAAACAAACTACAATAAACTATGAAATTCAATTTTTGAACAACATCCAAGAAATTGGAATAACACCACATGAAAGCAAACTATAATTAACTATGAAACTCAATTTTCGAACAACATCCAATAGATTGGAATAACACCACATAAAAGCAAACTATAATAAACTATGAAACTCAATTTTCGAACAACATAATACTGGAAGATGAAACTGAATAAAAAATAAATAAATAAATAAAAGAAAAAAATTAAGTTATTTTGTGGTGAAATTGTAAAACAAAATATTGAAAAAATAATAAAATAAATCAACTCGGGTCATGGGATTAGGTCATCCATGTAAAAACCAAATTAAAAAAAAATACAAAGCATGATTTTCAATCAAGATAATATTGAAATATAAAATAAAACAATTATTTAGAAAATTGATTAGGATCCAAAACAAACTACCAAATCAACCTAAGTTACCGTGATACTAATTGACATTATCAAGATAAATTAATAAAAAATAAATTAAAAACAATTATAAAGCACCACTCTCAATAAATTTAATATTAAAAGTTAAAAAAAACCTATAAAATTAAAATATAATCTAATATCAATACAACTAAGAAAAAACCATGAAATATAAACTCCAATACAATATAATATGAAAGAATAAAGAAGAAGGAGAAGATTGAGTTATAAAATTGCGAAATTTAAAAAAATATATTATTATAATAAACAGGAATTTGCTCGTGTAGGTACATTAAATTACCCACATCCTCTACTTTTTTGTTCAAAAAATAAAATCACTATTCAGTTAAAAGTGATCGAGGTGCCAATTTATTAGGTTCATACATCCTATCAAATTTTATAAATTGTTCTTATTCTTTTCCAAACTTAATAACATAACTACTTAATAAAATTACACTGGTATTTGGGTTTGATTTTTCCAATGGTTACTATACAGTTACAAGAGAATTATTACAGTGGCGTATCATCTATAGCAAATTTCATTCTATTTCTTTCAGTGGTTGATTTGAAATTTGATTGTGTGCAAGTTTTATAAGATAGAAATCAATGAAAATAAAAATATTTTTTTACCCTGAAAGATATACAAACGCGATCCCTTCTTTTTTTCTTCCATACAAACGTGAATCTAGATGTATTTAATATATTTCCTTCTTTTTTCTAAAAACTTCAATACTCAAAATATTTTATTTTATAATTAGCATAGTTTAACACTCAAAATATTTTATTTTATAATTAGCATGCGAAATTAATTTTTTATATGGTTGTGAAAACAAACTACATGGTTTCTATTAGAATATCCTGTTGGTATTACTATATTTCTTGAAAACTTAGAGCTTGTATAATCTTTTAATTTTCTAGATTCTCTATGCTATGGAAGCTACCAGATTAAACTTGTTAAAAATATTTCAAAAAGAATTGACAATGTTTTTAAAAATTATTAGATTAACTATTGAAAATGTAAAGTTATTTTGTAAAAATACAATGACGTTATATTAGCTTCTACTTTAAAAGCACAAGAAATGATTTAAAAAAAAATAAAAGCTACTTATTTGACTTAAAATACAGGAATAACTTAAAAAATTTACATCACATCATGTTATAACACAATAGAAAAAATAAGAACTTGTTAATTTTTACATTTAAAATTTTTTTATTTTATTTTATTTTATATTAATATCGACATTAAAAATAAAAAAATATTATTTTAATATATCTCTAAATAAAAAAATATTTTAAAAAATAAATTAAATCATATTTTTAAAAAGACTATAATAATCAAACACGCTGCGGTTTGACTGCCAGAAAAGTTGCAAAACACACTCTATTCTCATATGAAGCCTCTGCTTAAAAGTCGACGAGGAAGAACTCCGCACCCGGATATATAAATCGATACCGAAAATATTATTGTTATTATTATTATCAAGATTATTTTTAATCTAATACTATAAAAAGAACAAAATTAACACCTAATCAATACCTTGAAATGTTAATGCTGAGCTGGGACTCTAAGAAAATTGAAACTCGAAGCTAATAAATCTGGACACGAGCCAAGTTATGAGGAGTTATAAACGGTCAATGTCAAAAAGAAGAGGATGTTAATTTAAAGCTGCAGTCAATCTTTACTTTCGTGCTTGGGGATTGAATTTATTGTGATTATTTTTAAAATCACCATACATAATATAATTCATTTAATATTTTTGTCACCGTGAATTGTTTTTTTTTTTTAACATGATCTAATAATAAAAAAAGTTTGATAAATATATTTTTCATATATTTAAGTAGCAATTATCATACAATACACTAAAAAAGAGAGTTTTTCCTGACTATTTGACTGTTCATGTAGACAATGATGTAGCTCTTTTTCTCTCTCTTTTTTATCTCTAATTTTAGTCATTCTTTTCTATTTTTGTTCCCTTTTTATTAAATCTTTTTTTAATGGCATAATTAAATGAGACTGAGTTTAAATTTATGGTATAAATAACAAAATAAAAGACAAAGGAATAGAATGTAAAATATAGAGAAAATTCATGGCGACTATCAAATTTACAATAATTTTATTTTGTTTATTTTTGCTTGGGAGACACTAGAGAAAATTATCAAAAAATAAAGGAATTTGATATTACAATTCCGTCAACTAAAATAACAAAGCTTGAAAAGTTAAAAACCTAACTTTTCAACAAGTTCTGGCCACCAGTGGTCGGCTTGAGACCGGGCACCAGATGATACGTCAGCAACTTAATCTTTTCTCTAAAATACAAGCAGAAAAAACACAAGCCTATAAATACGAGCCTGAATTTCCAAACTCAGACGCATGAGTTTGAGTATTTGGCTAGGTGTATAGGCTTAGCGTTACTGCCTCGCTCATCTCTCTCTCTCTTCTTTTTTACCCTAAACTAATATCCTCCATCTTTTTTATTTTTAGGTTATGTTAATTTTTATTTTAATTAAATTAATGCTTTATTTTTTAAATTTTTTTATTCATTTTTTAAATAGTAATTATTATTTTTATATTTTTATAGTATCTCAAAGAGATTATTGCAATTTTTTTTATAACTGATATAAATAAACTGAATTTGTAGGATATATTTGTGCTTCAAGAAAAAAATAAGCTCATAGATAAAAAAATATAAAAAATTCAATTTTTAAATTTTTTTTCATATTTATCTATTTTTTAAAAGAAAAAAATATTGGCGTAATAGTTTAGTATTTAATTAGAATAACAACTCTTTCACAATTAATGACTTCATTTATTTTTTAAATTTACTTTATTAAAAATAAACAATATCTTTACATTTTTTAATTAAAAAATAATATAATAAAATGTATATGCAATATTAATATATTCTTTTATTTTTTATTACATTAAAATTTAGCGGGTTTTGAAGCTAGTAACTAAATTTCTGGTAAAAATGATGAAGAAAAATAGAAACTTGCTCCGACCACAAACGAACACCCACCATCTGCTAGTAGAATACTTCGCACTCCAGGGGAGGAACCTCCCACATATACGGCTGCAACTCCTGCCTACACCCCAATCTTGCAAGAAAATCAGAACATTGGTTCCCTTCGCGTGACTAATGGTTGAGCTTCGAAGTCATTTCTGTCTGTTAAAAGCAACCAGTATCATGAACGAGACCCTGACGAGGATGGCACATAGAAGGGTTCACACTAGCCACTCTCAAAGCTTCCATTGAATCAGATTCAATCCTTATCGATAGCCAAGACGAGGATGGCACATAGAAGGGTTCACACTAGCCACTCTCAAAGCTTCCATTGAATCAGATTCAATCCTTATCGATAGCCAAGACGAGGATGGCACATAGAAGGGTTCACACTAGCCACTCTCAAAGCTTCCATTGAATCAGATTCAATCCTTATCGATAGCCAAACGAATTCCCTGCCATATACCCCATAACTCA